AAGGAAACCTCATATATAATCATCCTTATTAGTGATGGCCTCCACCCTTAGTATCGATGGCCTCCGCCCTAGTATCGCTGGACGTGAACACTTCAAGTCCCTCGCCCTGGACCGGGCGACTTTGCAAGTTAATGCCGGTCCGGTCATTCTCGATGCTGGACGGGCTCACCTAAGGGTTGGACCATGTGGTCAACAATGGCTGGACATTGCAACATTGCCAAAAAGGTGCCCAGCACTGAAGCCGAAGTGTTCCAACAATGCGATCATTGAAGAAAAAACATGAATCGCACGGACGAAAAACAGGAAAAAAAGAAAGGAAGGAGGGGCAAATAAAGGTCTAAAAGGCGTCTAAAGGTCTAAAGAAAGCCAAGAAGTGACAAGCCAATCAGAACACACTGAAGACATGAAAAAAGAAACAAGTCCGACCAACCTCCCCCACGCCGCACGCCTGCACGGCTCCGCTTGAGGTCACTGAGGTATCAGCAATGTAGACCGTCTCGCCATCGACACGCAAAGCCAAGCCAATCATCACAGCGTTCCGACCGCTCTTGTATTGGCCTAAGGGAGAAGACGGTGGGGCCGAACGGGGAAAAAGTGGTGATCCAACTGAGCGAACTATGCAACTCAAAGCTGGTGGTTGTTCACAACTCTTGTTTCGCGGCAACAGTTCAAAACCCAAGATCCTGGAAATTTGAGATGAACCTAGTTTATCAGGGGCCAGGACCCAACAACCTTCCACAGGAGACCTGTTGCAGGCTTCTGAGAAATGAATGTCAGAGATATATAATCCCAAAATGGATGGTTCAACAAACATGTTCTAAACATTTTTGAACATGTATTAATGGAAACCGTGTCCATCTATTTGGTGATCTCTATGGTTGCAAACCCCTGCAAGTTTTGGGTGGGGCAAGGCCTGCACACCAAGGCACATTGAAAGGCCTGGAGCTCGAACTGCCCACCACACTGGCCACTGCTTGCATAACGAACAACACCACTGCCTCGCATTGCGGCATAACATTGACAACAGCACTCCTTGAAACCGAAGGAAGCCAGCATTTGGCAAGCCGTTGCTCATATAGTGTTTGAGACCGGGGGAGTGGAACGGTGCAACGTCGACATCTCAAAACAAGGGAGCCACAAATCAATGGACCCGAGTCGTTCATCGATAATATATTTGTTTGGTTTTGTTTTTTGTACTGCACTGCCAGCACTTCTCCAAAGAAACGCGTTGTTCGATGTTGTTCTTATGATTGGTCATCCTTGTTGAATCCCATCATTCATATCCCAAAATGCCGCCCTTGTTACCATCCGTTTTTCTGCGCCCATTCTTCAACTAAACTAACAGCAACCATGCAGGAATTCGGATGTTTCACGGACCAAACACCAGCAAGTGTGAGAGCCCCCTGCGCTATCTCTGAGGCTAACAACTACCATGTGTTCGAGGGAACTACTTTTTCACTGAGAAATCTTGACGGAGTCTGAGCTGGGGAATTTTCCTCTATATATATATATAGTGTTTTGGCGGTTCGAGGCCATCAATACCGTCTCCAGTGTTGCTTCGAGCTATCCCCACACACCCAAGTGTCCCAATATTAACGTTTAAGGGGCGGTCAAAACGTTTTGATTTTTTGTTGTCTGATGGTGTGCTTGTCCTGGTGTGTTGTCAAATGTTCTGAGTGTTGTGGTTATGGTTGATGCTGCCACTATGCCTGTCATTGTTTGTTTTTGCTGTCGTGCTGGTCTTTGTGTATCGTCAAGTCTTGCGTGTTGTGGTTATGTCTAGTAATGTGACTATGTCGGTCATTCTTTGTCGTGTGTGTGCTGCCGTGTTTGTAAACCTGATTTGTTAGATGTGTTGCTTGGTATGTTCATTGTGTTGGTCATTCTGTGTTGCGTGTCCGTTATGTCTTGTGTTTGCCACTGTGAATTGTCACCTGCTTTGATCGGCTTGGATTTAGCTAAGCTTTAACATAGTTGTGTTAGTTAACAGAGTATTGCTAAGGTACTGCCAAGCCTTTAGCCTTTTTCTACCAAATCACACAAAAGCAACGCTTTTCTGTGTGACATGTTACACAAATGGAACCAATAGGAAATGAGTCAAAAAACTGCTGGAATATTGGTTACTTTGGTGTGCAAGTATCATGGAGCAATCACTTCTGAACTGGCATGTGTTGGGAGAAATCACCTTTTGGTTTCTCCCACAAACACAATGGGATGCTTCATGCAATGGCATGCATCAGCATTTGTCCCTGGCACTGAAAAGAGTTTACTGATTGTGTTCGTTTGTTTATACAAGTGATCTATAATCAATGAATAACATGAGCATTGTCCTATGAAAGCACTGGGTGAAGATCAATGAAAGACTGTTTGTCTTTCAATGAAAGCACTGGGTGCTTCTCAATGAACGCTTTCATCATGCGTCATTGGCTATTAGTTTCAATCCTGAATTGTCAGCTGTTTCGATTTGCATAGTGTACCTTCACCTGTTCATTAAGGTGTTCATTTAGGCCTCTGTAAGTGGCAAACCGCATACTGTACGAACCCTTATCCCAGGAGTGTCTCTCAATATTGGGAGCCGGGAGTGAGCCCCAAGTAGTGCCCTCCGTGACCCAGTCTTATTACTGGGGATGAAGTCTCCACCAATGGAGTGGGCAGAGCAGGCCACAGCGGCCCGAGGAGCCTTAGTCAATTAACCCTTGTGAGACTTGGATTCGACTGGAGCAGACCGTATGGTCAAGAGCAGTCTACAGCGGATCAGAGGTAGTGATCTCAGCCCCGCACTTTGTGTACACACTAACATACCAAACCCGAAACCAGTTAAGGTCGTCCAGTTTTTAATAGAAAGGCAATTACGGTTCTTGGTCTTGTTGCTCGGTGCCATCTGGCCCCTTCATTCGCAACCATGTACCCTTCCTGCTTTGCTTCCATGCTTTGCTTCTGTCTTCATGTCTATCCATGTCATCCTTTTCTCCACTTGCGTGCACCTCCGCTCGGGCCTTAGAGCGTACACGTTTTTGTGTGTGCATTGTGCTGTAAAACGCCCCAATCTTGTCGGATGGAAAAATAACCAAACTGATCATCCAAAAAGTAATCGAGATAGCTATAATATTATGTATAATATATGGTGTATATATATATATGTTATATGTATATATTTAATATATTTATTAATATAGTTATATATATATATATGAATGAGCTATTTCACAGTTGGTTCCTTCTCCCCGGCAGGCACCACATACAATAAAACTCCATGCGAACGAACGTCCCAGTCCCCACCCGAGGCGTGTCCCTGCCTTGGTAGTCAAAGCGCTTCTGGTTGGGTCTCCAGCTCCGGATGAAGTGCGGATCGCCCCAAGCGCGGCATTGGGCAAAACGAGGATCGGACCAGCTTCCTGACCGGCAAGTTTCTGGAACGCCTTGCGTTCTGTGTTTTTTTTGGGGGGAACTCTGGAACAAGTTAAAGCATGAGAACTAATACTTCAGCTGCTTGAGACTGTTCCATGTATGTCCCCTTGCGTTGTCGTTACATCATCTGCTTTTGTGGCCTTTGCTCCTCGCGCCATTCACCTAACAATGGGTGACGTTTAACTACCCAAAGAAAGAGATTGGACACCAATCTCAAATTTGAGTTAATTCAAAGCAAGTCACAAGATAATGATCAACCATGATCGACAAACACTTGCCCTGCCACCAAAGGAGTATAGTTGATATTATTTGGATTTAATTGGTTATATTTACGTATATATAAACATAACTATGAATTATAAACATCTATGTGTGTTTTTGTTCCCTCCGTCTAGCGGAAAATGGTCTTCAAGCGAGCTATCTAGCAGGCTAGCTATGCTGTTCCCACGAGTCAGCGCCAGTCCACATCTCATGCCGCACAAACAAAAGGCACGCAAAAAGCTGTCATGAGTCATGACTCAATGTGACTCAAGTCGTGCAAAAGGATTTGTTTGAGTGTTTGGATGGACACTGCCTTAAATACCTTTAAGGTGATTTTCCTGCAGTTCTGGATTGGGTTCTGGGTTTGGGCGGTCAACCCTCCATCTTAACTACCTTATGTAAATCTTTGGGTTCTGGGTTTGGTGACTTTCCTGGGGTGGCTGCTTAGGAACTTCTATCTTTGTTGGGAGGGTTTCTCCGCCTCTCTGCCACCTGCGACTGAGACACTGATCGCCGCACACGCGTTGCAGTTGGGGACAGCCGGTGGCCCCGATGGCGGTGCAGGTGGTGAAGAGCCACTGGAGATCTGGTGGTTCTGTGACCTTGCCCGATCGAAGATGCTTTTTTGAAAAGGGGCTACCCAGGGTCAATAGTAGGCGTTCGAAGAAGCCCTGTGTCAGTTGTCATGGGCCACACCGGGCAACGCCATTGATCGTGTGTCTTGAGCACGAGGGGTGGATAAACGGGAGGTCTAGCAAGCGTCCATGTGTCAACTGATGGAGATAAAATAAGTGTGGATGGCCGCTCTATGACAACACACGAACTGCGGGGTCGAGCAAAGTCAATCGAACGTTTTCCGAGAAGCGTAGCTATGGCTGAAGGCCTGGTACAAAGGCCGAGGGGATTCGGGCCGCAATGGCCGCACATGAAGGGAATCTGGCATCGATACCTCAGTCTTTCACATTCATCCTATCTTCTTCTTTAAAGCTTGTGCCACAGAAAGGCTGAGTGGACATCGGATGGAAAAAGGTGACTAACACCTCTGCCGGTACAGGGATCAGCGCATGCTGATTGGGAAGTTCACCAACAGCAGTGCCAGCCTCAAGTCGGTGCCAAAAGCTCTGTCCGTCTCGACAGAAGCGGGCAAAAGTTGTTCTCAAAGGGAACTCTGCACAGCTGAAACGTGGTTCGCCGGTCCGCATGGACTTGGCATTGAAAGCAACCTGAATTCCCATTCCAGCTTGGTGATGCCATCCGCGCTTCTCACAAAGCGTCAGGAGATGCGGCAGCATCGGGTCATCGCCATGCAGCTTCACTCCAGGCAGCTCAGCTCATGCTGTAGAGCTCTTTGAAGGCTTTGCTGACTTGGCCTTATAGACCTGCTTCTGGAACTCCGGTGAATAGGAGATCGACCAGGTGCCTGAGCTAAGGATCTTTCTCAAGTGATCCAAACTCATCATTTTCGTTCCAGCATCTGCAAACATGTTGGACGTGGCTGTCCACTTCAAGGCGGTGTTGGGTCGCCTCAACAAGCTCCTGAGCCAGGCAATGGTGAATGCCAGGCTCTTTTGTGAACCAAAGGAAGCCGTGTCACTGTTGGATTTGTCATAAACGTCCTTGGCGTCAACGACTCCGGTCATCTTCACGGCGTTCGTGGAGCTGTCAGCGCGAACACCAAGCATGTCCTTCCCAAGGACAGTCGCCAAGAAGCCGCGTGCCAGCTGCCCAGCATCAAGTGCCTCTTCAGCGGCCAATGTCTCAGCCGCATAGGTCGAACGACAAACCCTCGGAATTCGGTGCGACCGAGTGTCTAGGACATTAAACTGTCCCGGCTTTCCGTCAACCAAGGCACTATCACCCAGCAGGATGTAGTAGCAGGCCTGAGAGTAGACCTTCTCAGAGGCAGCTCCTTCAGAAGAGCCAGACAGCTGCACGTTTCCCAAGGCTGCGTCAGAGACTGCGACGATGCCAGCTGAACGGTAATCGATCGGACGAAAGACCAGTTCAAAGGTTCCAGTGCGCTTGAACTCACGAACCAAGGAATTGGCTCGGAGCATAGTCCCGACTGTTGGGGGGTTTTCACCCTGTAGGGATGAAACACCAAAAGACAAATCAAACCTCAGCTGGGCCACAAGCCATTGCAACGATCCGAGGATCGCTCTAAGCTGCCGGTGTTCATGTGGTTCCAGCAAGGCGCTAGGATCTGACTTCCGTTGCCTGCTCAAGATGACCTCGGCGAGGTTCTCGTGGTACTCAATCATGCTCAGGCGGACTGTGCCATCCAGTGCGCGTCGGATGCGCTTGCCGCACCAAGTGAAATCGTTCAAGTCCTGGGACCCAAAACCAAGCTCGCCGCCGATCTTGTTCAGGGAAGCCTCTGCAGAAGCGCTGCCAGCAAAAAGCAAATCGTCGACGTGAGCGACGATCAATCCTTCAAGTGGGCGGATGCCCTTCAACTTCGCCGCATCATCAGCGGTTCCCCACAAACACCACATTGCTCCATCGACCAAAGTCCTCGTCCAGCCATGGTCTTGTAGGCAACGAGAAAGACGGAGCCACCATTCGCGAGGTGCATCAGCCAGACCGAAGATACCCTTCAGCACTCGGCAGAGTTGTCCCGGCTGAAGTGGAAGAGGTGGACTTGTCTTGGAGTTCGAGTTGCAAATGTACAACTCTCGGTCGATGTAGGGGTCGCCCTTGAGGAAGGCTGACTTCACGTCACTGGAGACAATGTTCCATGAGCCATGAAATGCTGCGACGCAGAAGAGGATGTGCTGGGCGTTCCGGGAACCAGTAGGTGCATCTCTGCGGAGTTGTCCTTCCAAGTTGGTTCTGTCTTTGAACCCAGGCACGACCAACCTCGAAGATGCCTTCACTGGAAGCGGGTGCGACTCCGTTCGAAGTCCATCATGCTTGTCGGTGAGGACGAACCGAGGAACCAAAATCCTATCAAGTTCGCCACGACGAGCTAGGTCTTTTCGAACCCGACTGGACTCATGCATCGAGAGGACCTCAACGGCAGAGTTGTCGATGTAGGCCTTCCATCCAGTGACTGCCGCCTCACCCCACAGCTGCTTCTGATTTGGAGACATCTTGCTCCAGACATACTCTTTGCGAGCAGTTTGAAGTGCCAGCACATCATGAGGTGCTCCTGAAGGAAGTTGCGCTCCCAGGCGCTGCAGTGTGTCCCAATCACGTTGGCAAATGAGACTCCATCTTCCGTCCCATGTGCCATGGTCTGGCTCACTCATAGTGTTGCCCAGGTCGCGATCAAGGTCGATCATTGCCTGGAGCTTCAACAAAGGATGCACGTCCGCCCCATCGGAAATCTTCTGCAGTTCCTCATGGGTGAGTTCCAAGGCTTCAAATGCAGGACGGGCGCCATGCTCTTCTGCTTCCAAAGGTGGACCTTCTGCAGGTCTCTTGACTCCACGTTCGGCCCGTTCAGCAACTTCTTCATCTAATGCTCTCGCACGCTCCAAGGTGCGGGACAGTCGAACTTGCCATAGGACTCGTCAGCCTCGACTGGGAAGCTTGCAGGATCAAGCTCGGAACCGGTGTTCCAGGAGCGGCCGTGCCCGGCGTCTCAGTGCCTTCGCCAGCGGTCTCAAGCAATGATGGCGGGGCCGTCCTGCCAACAAGCGAGGGTGCTGCCGAACTTGGCGGTTGAAGTGCAGCCACAATCTCTGAGGGCTGAAGCTGACCTGCAAACTGCTCCGGCGTCGATGGTCGTAAAGGTCCATCAGGCTCAGGTTCATCAGAACCGTCATCATGCTCGCGAGCTCGAGCTTCATTCTTTGCTGCGTTGATCACCTCATCAATGGCCGCCTCCCAAGAACCAGCTGCTATGCTCTCCAGCGAGGATGCCTTTCTCACATGCTCCAAGGGGCATTTGGTCAACTGACCGCAAAAGGAAACAAAACAATTGGCAGCTAAATCAGTTCCATGACGACCTTCTGTAGCAACGAGGAGTCCTGGCCCATGCCAACGTCGAAGCATCAGCCTGCGACGAGTGCCAGCACCAACATCCTTCCTGGACTGATACTTTTGAGCTCTCCAAAAGAACACCAAGTCGCCAGGTTGAGGTAGATCTTCACCAGTCGTCGCTCGAGAGCGACTGAGTTCAGCCTGCCGTAGGCCTCGACTGTAGTGTAGTCTGATCATCGAGAGTCGAGCCGTCTCTCGAATCGCGACCAGCTTGCTCAGGGTTGGTTTCGCCTCAATGAGAGAGTGCTCGCTGAGGCGGGCATTGAAGCTGTTCAACACATCACCACCAGGCGAAGGAATCTTGCCCGTGACCAACTGGATGGGTGCCACCCCACCTTCATTCAAGTCAGAGTTATAGGAAGCCACGGCCTCTCCAACTGTCAACTCCATCTCTTCGAAGGACCCAATGGCGTGAGATTGAGCAACAGCACCAACCAACGCTTTCAAAGTAGCGCCGGATCGCTCACAGATCCCGTTTTGCCAAGGGGCACCGACTCCAATGTGGTACAGGTAGATGCTCTGGCTGTCGCACCAATCGCCGAACTCGGCGGAGACAAACTCCCTGCCCTGGTCGGCCACGATGGTATGTGGTCGACCGAGAAGTGGGATCCAAAGCGTCTGCAAAAAATAAATGACGGAGGCAGTGCTCTTGTCTTTCAACACTTTTGCAGCCTGGTAGCGAGACACGTTGTCGGTCGCATGGGCCACCACATAGGGATTCCGCATGGAGTCCTCCAGCATGACCAAGTCCAAATGCACTTGTTGGCCAACATCACGAGGGGGTGGCAAGGATGCAACCGGTCTAGGCTTTGGGTTGCGCCGCTCAGCGCAAACAGGACATTTCAGCCGCTTGGCTGCCAGAACTGCTTCTTTGGGGGCTCCACAAATCAGCAAAGCCTTCGCCAGCCTCTGGTTGCTCCGGTGGCTGGTGTTCACATGCAGGCGGTAAACGGCATTCTTCACCGCTGCGGAAATGGGCTTCTGCTCATCGTCCTTGGAGACCTCAAATGAAGCCTCGGAGTCCAAATCGCCATCATCTCCAACGGCCATCACCTCATGTTCAACAGTGAAAGCCTCGGACTCATGGTTGTAGCCCTTGAAGATGTAGGCGTTCTCGAAGTCGTACTGCTGCATGCAGGCATCGACCACGGCGTCGGCGAAGTCCTTGGTGTAGTGACCCGCCGCGGTAGAAATCTTCTTGCCTCCAATCACCGGTGTGTGACGGTGATCTCCCAAACAACGCTTGTCCAAGAAGGCGGACACGAGGGCTTGCATTGAAGTCACCAGCTTCGTTGCTTTCTTGTGAAGTTCACCGTCAGGGGCCCGAAGACCAAAACGACACATGTCCACGACCACCTCCAAGGCGCCTGTGGACTGCACAAAGTCCTCCATAATCTCAAGCTTCCATGCCATGGAGGAGCGAGGATTCTCCATCAAGTAGTGCCTACCTCCTCTCAACTGCAAGCGAGCGACCTCGATGGCAAAGAATACCAACTCAAAAGCCTCACTACGAAGCCTGTCAAGGTCAACGGAAGCGTTGAGGGCCAACAACTGTGACCAGGCACCACAAGGAAAAGCAAGGACCACAACATAGGGCTTGACACGCTTCATCCATGCCAGTGCTGCTTTGCAATGATCAGGAAGTCGAAAATCCCAACCAGTGCCAAGAGTCAAGCTTTCTCCAGCAACCAAGCCATGGCGACGAGTCGCCTGAGCCACAGGCTCAGTGTCGGTGTAGACCTCGGTGAGAAAAGTGGGCATGCGAAGTTCCACAGCGAAGGTCTCATTCATAGCATCTCTCATCTCCATGTTCCAAGTGGCCATGAAGACTTCCTTGATCTCCTTCAAGCCAACTGAAAGGGCGATCTGGTCTCGTCGATGTTGATGCCATGCTTGTGAGATCATCTGGCTGATGCCCTTCTTCACTTTGCCATGAATCTTGAAGTTGCCATCGACGGTGTCCACAAGGTCGTCGAAATTCTTCACAGGTCGTCCTTGGTCAGGTCCATGACCACATCGCTCGGAGATGTGGTTCCCACCTCGGATGGCGCCGGAAAAGCTCCCGCGCTTGCTGACAGAGGAGGCCCCTGGCTCACGGCTTGCAGCACTTGACCCAACATAGCTTGAAAGCGAGCGTCCTGGGCCTTCATCATCTCCTGGACACGAACTTCCATCTGGTGAAGTTCGGAGGGCATTGGACATCCCTCCTGCTTCCGCTCCATAGCCGCCTTCGGTGCCTCCATTCCGGACACGGCTGACCATGAGGACGACGTGGGCGTCACACGATGGAGAGGATCTGCACGAGGTACCTCCAAGGGCGTCGAATGCAACGGAGGGTTCTTGTTCTTCAAGATGTCCACGAGTGGGCGGATGCGGCCTTGCAGCTGAGCCACCGTCTCCTTTGGTCCAGGGGTCAAATTGAGCAAGAGCGCCAACTTGACCAAGTCGCTTCGCAAGGTCGGCAAACCACCTCTTGGTCCAAGCAACTGGCGAGCCATGATCTCGCGATCCATCTCGGCCGACTCCTTGGCGATCTTCTGCTTTGTCTCCTCCAAGGCAGCGGCACGAAGCTTCTCCCGCTGACCCTTCTGGCTCCGGGCAGCAAGAAATCCAGCCAAGAGACTGTCCTCCACAAATGCCATCTTCCAGCCACATCGGTCTCTCAACCTCCCGAGCTCCAACAGGTGCTCCACAGTGTAGCCACCGGTCTCGAGGGCAATGAAGTGGTGCCGCCGGCTCATAGTCTTCATGTTGATCATTGACTGTGCCTGGAGAAGCCATTGCTCCACTGAGCAAACCGAGGGATATGGAAAAGGCAAATAGCGCAAGTGAGCTCTTGAAGCGAACTGAATGAGTAGGCTCCTTGCATGCCAATTCCTCCTGTCGACGAGGCGGAGGATGAACCGATTCCACCGATAGGGCACGATGCCCTTCGTGTTCACTTCCTTGAAGATCTTCACCAGCGACGGAGTCAAAGGCTCCAACGGCGCTGCCTCCAAGGCAGCCATGTCCGACAGGAAGGTGGATGTCGGTGGTGAAATCATCATGAACTGGTACTTCAGGTCGTTCTGCAAGTAGTCGCTCTGGTAGTCCGAGAAGGCGTCGATGAAGTGACAATGCGAAGTCAAACATCGTGCTTCGAGCCAATGAGGGCAACAAAGAAACCAAACATGACTCATGCCACTGCAAAGAACCCTTCCCGGCTTCGATACTGGTTTCGGTCAAAAGGTGATCATGGCTTGTCTGGAAAACAAATGAACCCTCAGCAACTCTTCGCTCTAGCCATGATCTTGGGGTCAACTGCAACTCGAGCACTCCATCAAGGCCGCATCGACGCCATTTCACGGGGCCGAGCCTTGGCCAAGACTCTGGCAGGAGCTCCAGCATGAAGTGCCCGGCTGCCATGTGCTTGAGTTCCAACCTTTGGGAGTCATCAAACAATGAAGTGCACTGCAAGGTGCGCTGGCCAAAGTTCAAGACAGCTCCGAGGGCATCCAACACATCGCGACCGAGTAAACAACCCAACGAAGGAATGGGGACCTCATTGATCCAAACCAAAAACACATGGCCTCCGACGCATGCCGGAAGTCGCCATCTCTTGGTGCTGATGGCCACACCTCCGTTGCCGAACTTGAATCGCTCCGATTCGGAGACATGGTGAAGTAAAGCACGAATGAACGGTACGGTGGTGCACTCTCAAGCTGGGAGACATAGCTCTGCAGCCAAGTCGGTCCAGCGCAACTGCGATTGCACGCGCTATCTAGGGCCCCAACATGGTGCTTCTCGTTCGGCAAGTCCTGTGCGGCGGTCGAAACGAGGGTGGAGTTCAAGGCATTCGCCAACGACTGCTCAAAGGCTTGACCCAAGGGCATGGTTGAACTCCCGTGCAAAACCATGTTGACCTCGTGAGGGGACCCAGGGTTTTCCAAAGGTGTGGATGTACTCGATGGTGAAGGTGCAAGGGGTTCAGGAACAACGACATGCTCAGCTTGGAAGGCTTCGGTCACACGAACTTGCCGCGTTTTTGCTTTCGCGGCAGCTGGAGGGCCCTTTCGGCCAAGACCTGCACCAGGCTTAGGGCACTCCTTGTCGCCAGCCCAATGACCATGCTGATTGCAATCGAAGCATGGATGCTTCCCCGAGGCCTTTCTGGCCGCTGGAACTCCGGCGTTTTGCCGTCCACCTCCAACTGCTCCAGCTCGACCGAAGCCACGGTCCTTGCGAACCTCCTGCAAGCGGCTTTTCGCCTCCTTCATCGTGACAAGGGCCTCAGCGGCCTGCTCAAACGAAGACTCCATTTCCTCTAGGACACCTGGATCGATGCCCTGCTCTTCGGCCTCCTGAAGTTCAGTGGCCAAACACTCAGCTTCGCTCTGGATGACCTCCTCCAAGGTCGGATCAGCCGCTTGCTCACCGGCATGGTCTTCCTCGGCCACGGTCTCCAAAACCTCTTCATGCGACTGATCATGACCATCATCAGTCTCAGTCACATAGGCACGTCTCGTGCTGGTAGAGTTCGAAGAGCGTGCCGAAGTCGCCGCCGAGAACATAGACGGTGATCGGCTGATAGTGGATGCCGAAGACGATGGTCCCTTTTGGGATTGCGATTGAAACAGCCGTCGAATCGTCAACTTCGGACGGTCTCCTTGTCGGTCAAAGCGGCGAAGAGGATCGTTGTGATGTAGGTCCTTAAAAAGGCGCAAGCATTCAGCCTCCACGACATTGTACTCCTCGCGGCCGCCAAGGGCAGTTTCAAGAAGCTGTTGACGCAGACTATCAAGGCCAAGCTTCTGGCGAAGGAACCAGCCGAGTTCAGTGCTCTGAATCGAAACTCCCTCTGCACTGAGGTCGGCAGCCAAGGTCCTGAAGCGGGTGCAAAACTCAGCAACACGCTCATTGGGAGACCGCTTCAACTCCAAGTAGAACAAGTTGCGAAGCTCACCACGCTTATCCAACAAACTCTGTCCGTTGATTGCTTCAAGGGCGGTGAGCAATTTGTTCAACCCAAACAAATAGTCTGCAGGGGTCACCTCAACAGATTCGCCAGAAACAGGGTCGGTGTAGGTTTCAGCGGGCTTGAATTGCAGTTCATCGGGATTGAACTCTTCCCCACGCTGGCGAACGATGCCGGTCTGTCTGAGGAGCCAGCGAGCAGCCAAGTTATACTTGGCCGTGGCCTGCAAGTCCAAGCTGCTGACCCACCAAGTCATCTCCCTTCTAAATGATCGCCATGTCAATGGCGACCCATCCCAAGTCGGCACTTGGTACCACGCTCCTTTCTCGTCGCCACCACCAGTCGCCATCTAAGGCCTCTTCGAGGGACAGCTTGTCTAAGGTGGTGGTGTAGTAGCTCAAAGGTGAAAGCCGCCGGATCTTCCGGCGAGGTCGAAACGAAGGACCGGGCTCGAAGTCAAGAAAAGAATCAACGCTTGCTGAAAATTCCAAGGTCTCGAGTCAGGTCCAAGGCACGAAGTGACGGGCTAAAAGCAAAGGCCAGGATCGCAACAAGAGCTCCGCTACCACTGTGGATGGCCGCTCTATGACAACACACGAACTGCGGGGTCGAGCAAAGTCAATCGAACGTTTTCCGAGAAGCGTAGCTATGGCTGAAGGCCTGGTACAAAGGCCGAGGGGATTCGGGCCGCAATGGCCGCACATGAAGGGAATCTGGCATCGATACCTCACTCAGTCTTTCACAATAAGTGTGCACAGTTTTTTGTTGGTAGGCTGCTAGGCATGGAAATTGCTACCGGCGTATCAGGCGTACCCCCATTCTTGTTCACCTTTCCCACGAATTGTGCAAGCATCCGTGACTCTTCCTTGGGCCGCACCTGTTTTGAAACATCAGAGACATGCATGGGTGTGGTTGATCCGTTTCAACTTTGTGACTCGTCTGATGCCTCACAGCGAATGAGATTGCCCATCCAGAAATTGCGCCGGGTCATTCGGCCAGGTACCGACACTACAAGTACCACCGGCCACCACCAGCAACATCGGAATATGTGCCAACTTCAACCCGTCATGTGATTCCATCCAACTCTCCCATCAGGGACCGGTGGACCGACAGGTTGTGGGTCCATCCTGCATGGCGATGAACATGCGACCGGAAAAGAAGCGGTGTATCCCAAGAAGTCTGGGGCCATCATCGGGTCTTTTGGTATGAAAATCAGTGACAATATATATATATATATATTATATGGATATATAAGAAATCCATACCAACAGAGGTAGAACCCTATGAACTATCCCATACAGTACCCCAGAAGGGTCCTGTAATATGCTCACTTAACCTCTCTTGGTGGTCGAGGTCGAAACATCGCTGCGAGTCGGGCGACGCTTCAGTCCCCCGGAGACGCTTCCTTCACCGAGGGGCGACTTCAAGACGCAATCTGGCAGCTGTCCCACCGGCTGCCTCAGCCGTTCGCTGTCGAAGCAGCTGCCCCACCGTGGAGTTTGAAAAGGGGGGTTATGGCCTGGAAGTGGGAACTATGAGGGAAATCAATGCAAAAAAGGGACTTGGACCGCAGGGAATACTGGGAATTCTTACAAAACCCTTGGGCCCCCTTGCCGATTTTCTTTACAGCGTATGCGTTCTAGAGACCTTCATTGCTTTTTCATTGCTTTGCAATCAGGTTTGGGAATAACATGGAACACCAATTACTCTAAATCAGCTTACTTGCCGCAAAAACATGAAAATGCCATGGTTTGAGGTCCTCTGGTTTCACCGACCAGCAAGTCGACCGTCCGCTGTTCAAGGGTTGCTCGTGAATCACGGTGACCCTCTTTAGGGGCTGAGCAACCCTTCTCTAATTCCCATTCTCAGGCTGAGCAATAATGGTGAACCCAATTTGAGCTCTCATGTGCGAGAAATGTTTGCGTGTTTCTCCGTCGCCCATGTTGCCAAGCTGCTCGCCCATACCGTTGACGCATTCGTAGACACCGAGACTGGCCGGTACAATGTGGGTATCGAGCAGGAACTCGCACATATCCACAGGAATGTTTGCAGGTTTCAATTATCACCATGCACGGGGGGGCAAACATCTTTAAATCCAGCAGTCAACCACTATTGGTCACTACTTACCAGTACGATTTGGCCCGCGGGGCAGGGGTTGACACTTTAGGGTCTATTGCAAACCATTATCGAACCCTTAACCACTACACCCCCAAATGGTCCAACGTAACTCGTGCAGGGAGTTTTTTCCAGGCATCAATCTCTATTGTCTGAAGACTCATCCGCAAAACGTACCGAAGACTAGAGATCATATGAGTGGACATGACTAGTCCCAGCCCATCCGGACTGGAATAGTTACCTGCATGGATGATGTATAACTATTCCAGTCATATGGATGGTCTGGGAGTGGTGAACTTCGCCACTGTTGCATCATCAACCAGCTCAACGAATCACATGCCCACCAGGCGTTGAACACCTTTGCGCCCCGTTCCGCTGGAACGTTTAGCCCCGAACACGAGACCCGAAATCGTGCTTTGCTGAGTCTTGTGTGACACCGTGTTGTGCGTGGTCTCAACATGCAATAGAAATTGTTGCAAACAGCAGTGGATAAAATCATCACCAATTTCAGTGTTCTTGAACATTGTCTTCAAACACGCTCTAAACAGCGGTAGTTTGTGTATTGTGCCTTGCAAAAATAAACTTTGAAACCAAAACAATGGCATCTACAGTGCTTTCGGGGTGCGTAGTGTCAAACACATCGCACATACAAAACACTGTGAACACCGAGCCTGACATTCTTGAACGCAACATTAAAAACCATCAAAGAATAGCGGCGCTATCCGGCGCTTTTACTTTGTTGAATAGAGCATCAGTTTGAGCCCTGGCAAAACAAAATACATCAAAATACTAATGAACGCGCGGACCAAAGCGATGATCTGTGTTTCTATTGTGCTGTGATCAATATTTGCCAAGCTCACAGCAATCCAAGACCCTGAGAAAACCTTGCATGTCTGACCTCGCACCCCATCCACCTTGGGAAGCAAAAGTCCTGGATTCCCTCTCTACCTCCCCCCTTTCCGAAACGGGTCGGGGAAGCGCCTGTTGGTGATGTAGATCTGCGAATTGCAGCTGACCTCGCAGCTGGTACCCACCTCCAAGGCAGCACAACTGGCGGGGATCTCCTTAGAGCAATGCTCTGCCCGGTGCTCCGCCCTGTTCGCTTCGAGGGAAGAACGCCCGAAGATGTTGGTGGGCCGAAGTCGTTCAATGAGCAAGGGAAAAGCACGACCACTTGACCGGTTCCCGCCAGTTCCTCTCCTCAAGAGTGCGACAGCTACATGCAAGGTGAAGGGCAAACCACACCAAAAGCATTAAAACAGCAAATGTTTAAACAACACAGCTAACAGGAGCGCTCTAGAACCAAAGACACCCACCCCTCCAAAACCACTTCCTTAACCCCTGCTTTGCTCTAACAAACGGTCATTCACTCCAAGCATCGTATTTCTCAGCATTGGCCAGGACCAATGGCGCACAGGTGCTGCTCACAGGTGAGCTGAAGGAGGTCCCGTGCTGATTCCTGACAGCTTTGAAGCCGTTCCTACCTGCCAACCTCCAAGTGACTTTAGCCTCAAAAAACTCTACAGCTACTCTACATAACAAGATGTTCAAAGAGAAAACTTGGTTTTAATCGGCTTTGGAAGCACACATTAGAATATATCATGATGTACATTGATAATATATATATATCATTAGATATATATGTACAATATTAGTCAATTTTATGTTAGGCCCCCAACAAACAAAGACCTATCTATCTATCTATCTATATGTTGTGCTCGTTGATTTTGTGAGTTGCTGGCAGAGCAAATGAATCAAACGATACAGCTATACAAATGGATGCAAATTGGTGCAAAGGATTCAATTCATAGAAACGAGTGCGCCATTTCGGGACCGCAAGCGGTCTTCAGCATCACCATGGCCCCCAGGCACAAACAAAGATCAACAAAGCCGACCAGAGGTCAGCATTCCCAAGCCGGTCATGCTACTGGGCAAATCGAAGTTTGGTCAAAAATAAGCTAGCGTCATATGATATCAACGAACAAATCACCTGCCTCCACAAACCGGATGCACACCGCTTCTTTCAAGAACCACCGTTGTGAGTCATTGTACCAATATAAGGTGTGAACCACTGCGCCCGGTAAAAGCGTCGACACCGAGGGGCTCCGCGCCCGCCAGGAGCTCCACTGGCGCTGGGAGGTCAGTGCCGTCAGTGGTGCAACAGTCGCCCACCACGGTCACCGTCTCCCTCGGGACGGTGTCGTGGCCAAGAATGGATAGAAGACTGAGATACTGATGGAAGACACCCGGCATGGTACAGCCGGAATTTCAACCATTATGTTGCATGGTGGTCTTTTCTTTCCTTCAACATGTGCCGGATTCCTACTTTAACAGTAGGATGGGTGTTGTAGTAAATAGATCTGAAGAAAGTAAGCATCAGTGCAACCATGGGCACTATGTGCCACTATGGTGTTGTTGCACAGAGTTGGCTTTGATGTTTATTGTGTTTATTTGGGTTTAAGGGAGCACATAGATACTTGATTCTGAGCTAAAGGACTGTCCCAATCTTCTGAAAGGCCAAAGACTTTCGAAACAACTCTCTTGCAGCACAGGCATCGTATGTCACCAGGGTATGATGGGATCATCAACAACATCATCTACTCGATAATCCTAAACAAAGCTAGGATCCGCCGCTAGGCACTCTTCCACACGAATCATTATGATTCAAATACTATACACAAATCCGTATCCCGGGTGAATATACAAATATTATAATGATTCAATTGATGTCAGTACATTTAAAGCGGGTAAACACCTGCTTTCCGGAAATGCGCGTTGCTCGAGATGTTCTTCGTGAGTCCTTGGAGCCACCAGGGGAAACCATCAACCCGGTATGGCCATCATTTGGTCACTTATAAAGAGACATCGACAGAAGACTGTAAAGACGTGTGTGGTACATGTTCTAAACATGTGCAGCCAGTGCAGCCCTGCAATTCAACATCTCAGGCCCTGGGAAGGTCATGTAGATCGACCAAATCCAAAGTGGGTTTGCTCTTTTGGCTAATGTATTTTTGTGTTAAAGCTTTCGAACAACACCCCCAAAAACGCACCACAAAACTTGGGCTGTGGGGTCTTTTCCCCCAGGGTTCATCCCTAAATTCCGCCCAGCGGCGTCGCCACCAATCGACGAGCCCCTTCCTGGGCGCATCTGGCAAAGCCTTGAGACAAATAAGTTGTTCAATATAATGCTTCATATATTCAAATATATAATGAAACAAAATATTAAGATATCTC